AAATCGAACCTGAAGTAATTGGAAACATCTTCTTCCCGGAAAGTACTATCCGCCGGAAAAGTTAAGTAGATTTGCCGTGAACCGGGATTCAGCATACCCATGGAGAAATCGCTCCGGTCGAGCCTTGACCGGCCGAATTTGTTCATCTCTTCCCCCATCATTAATGCCGCTGCGGCGGCGGCGGCGGCGGCCATCCTAGAAACAGAAAGTTATGAAGTTTAGTAATTGAGATTCGGTGATGAAGTTAGTGGTTTAGTGGGTTTTTTGTTTTTACCTGGGGCTATCTGATTGGAGAGGTTGCTGCTGGAGGAGAAAGTTCATGGATTTCGGGCTGTTTGGGAAGGGAAAGTTCGGAGAAGAACCGGCGGCAGCCATGAGCAACCGTTGTTGGTGGGTGGATTTAGATCGGAGAAGCTCTTGGCACTGTTCCATGACGTCGAGTTTGCTCAAGGAACCAACTGTCATGGCAGCGATATCAGCTTCGCCGCCGGCGGTGTGAGTGAACCTGCAACTAGCTCCGTTTTTACAGTAGCCTCTAGCGAAGTAAAGACAAGGTTTCCATCCGTTAGGGGTCTTCACCACCTCCACCGAATAAAATATCATTAGCAGATGAGCTCCGGCGGTGTGGACCGCCACCACCACCGCCTCCGCCTCCGCCTCCGCCTCCGCCGCCGCCGCTCCATGGTGAGTACATGTCACCGCTGCCGTTAGGGGACATCAAATCCGGGTAGAAAAAATCGGTGGGTTTAGGGCCGAGAGTGGGAGAACCATCGTTGAGAAAAGAAAGCTGGTCTTGGATTTGTAATTCATCTATCAGATCAGGCTCACTACTTCCGCCGTAGAACGGCGGAGCTGAGGAATTCAGATGGTGGTCTTCACTGGGTTGAAAATCAGAGAAATTAGAGTTCGTCCACGAAGATGACAAGCTCGGGATACTGAGAGGCGAAGGGAGATTAGTAACTCCGCCATTAACAAGCCTTGAAGCAGTCGAAGAATTCGCCGAGTTTTGCCGGGAGAGACTGTGAGAAGAACTGAACGGCGACGGTGACGCCGGAGAAGAAGGTGTCGACGGCGCGTTGCTGGACGGAATGCCAAGTTCTTTACGAGCTTTCATAATCACAGAGTGAACTAACGATTCAGGCCCAAAAGCTAACCGAATCATCTCCTTTTCGCCATGATCTTGAATAAGGAGAAGACCCATGATTTTTGAAGCGTATTCAGGATCCAAATTTTGGATCCTCGTGAACACAACTCTTGTTGCTTCATATGAATCCATTTCTTGATTTTTACTCGAACTGATTTCTTGTGTTTCTGCAACAACCCACAAATCTTACAAAGATTTTTGAGTGTGAGATCAAGACAACATAGCTAAAAAAGTAGCTAGAGCTCAATTAATTGCTTCTTCTTGATGTGCTCCTGAAGAGGAAGCAAAGAAAAATCCAAGAACAAAGTTAAAATCTGAACAAACTCCATGGATGGTTGCATTCTACCTTCCACTTGAAAACAAAAAAAGAAAGCTAAATTTAGAAAACCCCATTAGAGAAAGCTTCCATTTTTTATCTTAATTTGAAAAATCCAACAATAAAGCAACTTCAATTTAGCAAACCCCATCAAAGAAAGCTTGCATTTTCTCTTTCAACTCAAGAAACCCACAAAAAAAATGGTTAATTAAAAAAAAAAACACCCGTGAAAGTAGGTTTCTTTTGCATTTGTTCAAAGTAATTAGTAACCACACTGTTGGGCTGAAAAAATTCAGCAAAAAGAAACATGTAAAACAACACTAAAAAGTCGATCAACAAAAAAGCAAGAAACCATTACAAAGCTTTTCCCCCCCTCACTTTCTCTCTCTATCATCACTTTCTCTCTCTAGAACTTTTATATTCCCTGAAATGAAAAGAAAACGCTTGTTCGAAGTAGAAAAAAGCAGGCGTTAGTTAATCTTACCCCATATCAAAAAAGGTCTACTCTTTTCTTCTTCTGTTAGAGATGACGATATTGATGATGAGTGATAAAGGTGAAGAGGTTACTGAAACTGATCATGAAACTTGAAGGGAAGCAAAGTTAAAAAAACGACTCTCTTTCTCCTGATTATTTGCTATATAAAGTGATGAAGGGTTTGCATCAGAAGCAGAATAATCAATTTGCTTTGTAGTTGCTGCTGCTTCTGCTTCTATCAAGGAGCTTGATTACAAGAGTAATAATTATAAAGCACCTAAAGAGTACCTTTGTTATGTTGGTTTCAGTGGGTAAGTGTAAGAGAGAGAAAGAGAGAGAGAGAGAGAGATTTTAACCTCTCCTACTTCTCTCTCCTATTGTAGTTTGATGATATAAGAGAAAGAAAGTTGTTTACTTATGGCCCCTAAAGTTGGAATCGATGTTAGTTTCTTTCCACAAGTTATGTTTCTTTCTTTTGTGCATGATGAATCTTATATCTAAAAGTATGAAGTAGTTAGATGTTTATATTCGCATAAGCATAGTTTATGCCATTGTTATGGATTTTGTGATTCTTGGAATGATAACAATTAACATATTAATCATTGATGACACTTGAAAGATTAATTGAAGAATATATGGTATCAATTTGAATGATGATATTGATTTAGTTATGATGACATTAAGTGACAATAGTATTTTGTGAAGTACGAATCTAAAAGAAATTGTGGAAGTAATAAAATAATATTTATGATGATATATCCAACCTTAATATTAAAATTTTAAAACATAAAAAATGAGTAGTAAAATTTTTTATTACAGCCACAAATTAAAAGAATAGAGTTTTTATTGAAAGTTTAATATTAATTCATAATTAAGCTTTAAATTTCAAATATTTAAAAAAAATATATATATAGTTGGTGTTTCACGTTTTTGAATTACTTGATTACCCATGATGCTGGTTCGACATAGCCTTGGAGGAGGTGCAAATTAATTACCTTATTTCAAATTCAAACAAATATATATTTAATATTATACTAATAAAAGAATATATTTTTGTTTTGTATTTTTCTTATTAAAATTCAACAATTATAAAATGTAACTATTCATTAACTTATATTAATTTGTTATGTTATACAAACTCACATTAACATATTTCAAATGTATATTAGAAATTTAAATATTATATTTAACAATTGATATTTTTTTAAGCTTATTACATAAATATTTTATCAGAAAAATTTTAATGGTAAACCTATAAGCCAAAAATATTATCACATTATCATTTTATTGACCTTAAATTAAATAATTTGCCAAAAATATTATCACATTATCATTTTATTGACCTTAAATTAAATAATTTATCTAATGGTTATCTTTTTTATGATTTTTTTTATTAATTTAACTAATTTATTCCCATCAATCTGAAATGTTTTATAAAATATTTCTCGTTTAACTAAACTTTTTTTAAACACGAAGTATTCTAATACAAAATATTTTAATAAATATCGTCCATATATGCTTATTAGTTTAATAAATACTATCACTAAACATTAATATTTAAATAATTAAATATAATACAATACAATACTTTAATAATTAGTAACACTAGACATGTAACTAGTTTGTATTAAATTTTCGTGTAAATTTTAATATATAATATTATAATATATCGATCACTTATTATATATTTGGTGGTTAATCAAAATACACAAAAATATATACACCCCAATGACAATAAGTGATAATAAGTAATCAATCAGATAGTAAAAAGTTATAAAATAAGTATCCATTGAAATGCTCTAAGACTACAGGGTTTGGTGTCACACTTACCATAGTATATGTAGGCGTCATGTAAGATTTGTCATGTTGCTACAAAAGTTTTTCATTTAGAGGGTGTGTGTTGCTACTTTTTCCATGCTATTTATTTTTTTCTAAAATTAATTTATATTAAAAATAATAAATTTAAACAAATTATTTTTATAAAAACTAAAATTTCATTAAATATGAAAGAAAATTACAACAAACCTAAAAAAACATAGAATTTAAAAATACAAAACATAAAAATTAAAATAACGAAATCTAGAAATTAAAATACGAGCTATAGATAAACTTAAAGGACGTCTTCATCGGAAAATTGATCTTCTAAATCATCGACCAATTCAACATTAACATCGATCTGGTCAATGGTCCAAATATGTTATGTCTAGTCTCTACGAAGATTTTAATTGATCTCAACATCATGGATTATTCTTCTTCTTGCCAAGTACTTATCGCTTTCAATCTCAAATGTTTGTATCGGTGGAACGATCTCGTTTTCATTATACTCACATATTGTATTTCCTTCATCTTCTAGAATCATATTATGCAATATGCTATAGGTATACATCACCCTACGCATTTTCTTCTCTTCAATAAAAGTCATGGGGTATTTCAGTATATGTCAACGTTTTTTAAGAACGTCAAACGCTCATTCAACATCCTTCCTCGCCTTATCTTGAGCTCTCTTAAACTTCAACCTTTTTCAATCATTAGGACAAGACAATAACTTCACAAAACAAGAACGCTCCGGATAGAACCTGTCCGTAGATAATACTCGTGTATATATATATATATATATATATATATATATATAATATATATATATATATATATTTATATATATATATATATATATATAACGTTCCATACACATCAAACGAAGAATCTAGTACAATATCGTTATACATGTCGTTGAATAATGGAGACATGTTAAGAACATTTATGTCATTTGGAAACCAGCAGAACCAAAGAATGCATTCCATATCTACATATCATGTAACGTCACCGCTTCAAGTATGATAGTTAGATAACTATGATCGTCTCGGGTGTATTAGCCTTGATATGCATTCGGGCAATTGTCCCATTCCCAGTGGATGCAGTCTAGGCTTCCTACCATCCAGGTAAGCCGTGGACATTTGAAGGATGAGCGTATAATTGTTGGATGTCATTACAAGTAGGTTTATGCAAATATTATGGACCATACAATCTCATGACATGCTTACAAACTTTGTGAAAGCTTTCACGTGCAATACATCCAGACATCCTAAAATTCTCACCTAGTGCATCGGGGGAACTAACATATGTTAGTTGACAAAGTGCGACGATGCATTTTTGTAAGGGGGTAAACCAAAAGTACCTCTAACATCTACACGTTGTTAGAAATATGGACATGCTTCTGTGACGTCGTTGACTATACGTTGAGACAAATGTGTTTTCATATCGAACCGCCGACGAAAATAATATCCTTGAAATGTTGCATGTTCATCAAAATAATCTTACATGAGGCGTTGGTGAGCATCTTCACAATTTCTTTGTATGTACCTTGTTTTTCTCCGGCGAGCATTTTCGACATTTCGTTGACGTAGTTCTTTTATCTTTTGTTCAGCATCTTGAATGACCTCTATGGCAGATTCGAACAGTGTTAAAAAAACCCGACGATGAAGAAGATCATATGACATTTTGAGAGAGATTGGAGAAGAAGGTTTTGATGTGGTATGTGAAGAGATGTAGGATTGTATTTATAGATAAAAAAAATTAAGCCATTGGATCATTGTCTGAAGAGAACACATTCAACTCGGTAAACATTCGACGAGTACCGTCGCCGAGCAGCACTTACCGAGGATGCAGCGCGGTGTTTTCCATGTCCAACTTGGGTTCGCCAAGGGTCACCGAGACCCACTCCCTGAAGCCTAAGAGCATCTCCAATTACTACGACTTAATATTTTTGCCACCTCATTGTTATGTTAGTTTTGACCTCTAATTAAATGATCTCTGCAGTGGTTAAACTTTTTCAATATTATTTATTTATTTATTCATGATTTTAACATATTGATCATCATCTATTTAAAGTGTTTCATAAAACCTTTTATTTAGTTAGTCATTTTTAAACACTATCATATTTTAATACATAATATATTTAATAAATGTTATCTTAGATTAATATATAAACGTTTAATAAATATAAAACTATGATATATATAATTAATTAGTTAAAGAAATAGAAAATATTTAAATCTAGAATATAATTACAAGAATGAAAATAAAATATGATTAAAACTAAAGGGATTAGATGTATAAAACATTATAAAATATTGATGAATAGTATATATTTAATGGTCAATATAAATACACAAAAAACCATACATTCAAATGATATTAAATAGGTATGAGAGGTCAATAAAATAGTAAAAAAAAACTATAAAATAAATCCCATTGAAAATGTTGGATATATTATATGTCTATTAATTTTATGGTATTATTCTAAATATTAAACAATTTATATAGATTAAATTTTAATATTTT